GTACACTCTTACCTCAAGTTAATTGCAAAAGTATTTGAATGTCCAAGACTGATAATGAACTGAGTTCCTAAGAAGAGAAGTGTGCTCCTTTTTTCTTCATCCCCAGTGGATAACCAGGTGCGTGGTATATAATGTTAACTAGCCAGGCAAAGTAAGAGGAATGGATATGTAAATTTTAAACAGGGCTTTTGTGTCTCTTCACCGCCCTGTCAAAATAGTAGCAGATTTTGATAGAGAACAACTTGACAAAGCAAATAAATGTTTTCATAATGCCAGTAGCAATATTTAATATTCTGTAACTGCTCATAGCAATGCAGAATTATAAAGGAGAAATGAATTTGTTTCCATTTACAAAGTTTAAATTTTTATTAGAAGGAAGTAAGTTATATTTACAGATAAAATTTTATCAACAGAAAATGGGAAATAAAGCAAATGATACCCTGGTTCCCGTGGGGTTTTTTTTTTTCTTTTCGCTTTTGTAGCATCAAAATACTTTTAAATAAAGATTGTTCCCCTTTGTGTAAGTTGGTGTCATCTAAAACGCTTCAAAACTTTGAGGCGAGGGGAAGAAATGAACTTGAGAATGCATTATTCCTGAAAGTTCTTGAACAGAAAAATTTCTTCTACAACCAGGAGAGGATAAAATAGATGAATGGGACCTTCTAAGAATCAAATTCCTATACACATCCAAAAACTTCTCCAACAGTGTAAAAGGAGAAGCCACAGATGGGGAAAATATATTTGGTAATGACCTGTCAGACAAGGGACTTAGATCTAGAATATACACAATACTCGAGCACTACAACAAGATAAAGGTAAACAACCCAATTGAAAAATGGGCACAGGATATGAACAGACACTTCACCAAGGAAGACATTCAGATGGCCAACAAATAGATAAAGAAATGTTCAAAATCCCTACCTCTAAGAGAGATGCAAATCAAAACAACTATGAGCTATCATCTCACCCCAGTGAGAATAGCAACATTTAACAGAACAGCAAACAGCAAATGCTGGCGAGGCTGTAAAGAAACTGGAACCCTTCCTTATTCACTGCTGGTGGGAATGTAAAATGGTGCAGCCACTATGGAAGGCTGTATGGCACTTTCTCAAAAAGTTGCAAATAGAAATACCACTTAACCTAGCAATTCCACTACTGGGAATATACCCCAAAGAGACCATAATTGCTACCCAAACATATATATGCACACCCATGTTTATCGTGGCTTTGTTTACTATAGCAAAGAGTTGGAAACAACCTTCATCAAGTTGAAGTGCCCATCAACAAACGAATGGATAAAGAAGCTCTGACATATTCACACAATGGACTACTATGCTGCAATGAAAAACAAGGAGCTCATGAAATATTCCAAATGGGTGGCCTTGGAAGACGTTATGCTCAGTGAAATATCTCAGTCACAGAAGGCCAAATACTGTATAGTGCCACTGTTGTAAAATGGGACTGACATCGGGGTTGGGGGGAGACTGAGGGGAGATAAATAATGTATACTGCATTGAAACAGATGAGGGAGGAAACTATTTAAAAGGGTTATGTGGTTAGGTATTAATGTCATGACATGAGTCTAGAATGAAGGCTGCATAGTGGAGTGGACTGGGGGCAGGGATAGGCAGGAAGAATAGTGCAACAATGAATGAATGGAAATACAAAGTCTCTGTAAATTTTCATTAAGATTAATAATAATAAAATAAAAAAAAAAGAGAAAAGTTAGCGTTGGAGAATACTGAACATCGCACAGACTATCAAAAAAACAGATATGTTTTAAAAAAGTGTAGCCAGAGTGTTCCTTGGAGGCAAGGATGGAGAGGCTTCATCTCATATGCTTTGGCCATGTTGCTATATGCTGGGAAAGATGTGGGATCAGCAGAAGAGCGGAAGATTCACGACAGATGGATGGACACAGAGACTGCAGCGATGGCCTCAAGGGTGTCAGATGATGAGGACGGCGCAGGATAGGACAGGGCTCAGGTCTCTTGCTCACAGAATCGCTATGAGTCATGCTCCACTCTAGTGACATGGCATCTGACAACACCACAGCACCTCATACCACCACCATCATGGAGGCACTCAATCCTTAGAATAAAGGAGTGCCTTCTGATAGTATTGATCCCTTTGTAGGTCTATCTGTTGTTTGATTTAAAATTGAGCCAACACTGGGACAGCAGCAGGACTAGATCCAAGGTGGTGGCCAGCAGGAGGCTGATGAAGGAGCTTGAAGAAATTCGCAAATGTGGAATGAATTCCTTCCATAACATCCAGGTTGACGAAGCTAATTTATTGATCTGGCAAAGGCCTTTTGTTCCTGACAGAATGATAAGGGAGCCTTCAGAATCAAAATACACTTTCCAGCAGAGTACCCATTCAAACCTCCAAAGTTCATGTTAAAAACCAAGATCTACTACCCGAACATTGATGACAAAGGGCAGATCTGTCTCCCAGTAATTAGTACCGAAAACTGAATGCCAGTCACATGTGATCCAGTCCCTCAGAGCACTGGTGAAAGACCCTAGCCTGAACACCTTTTCTGGGCTGACCTATCTCAAGAATACTGTAAAGATTGAAAACATTCTGTAAGAATGCTGAGGCGTTTACAAAGACATTTGCGGAATGGTGACCCATGGACTAAAATCTGCTGAGATTGATCCAGTGAGTGTGAGCAGAGACCCCAGCAGTGTATTCAGACCCCTGCAAAGCAGGACTCTGCAGAATTGACTGTGCCGTAGCTCGATCTCTGCTTGTGACAGTTCTAACCTCCCACAGTTTTCTTTATCAGAAGTGGTCTAGATACCTGTAAAGAAAGGATTAAAAATTTAAGATGTTCTTTAAAAAAAAAAAAATTGAGCCAAGGAGTGATTTTTGTTCCAGATTTAAAGCATTTTGTTTATGAACTTCTTTTTTTTTTTTGTTTATGAACTTCTAAGAGTCTGCATTCTCAAGTTAATCCTCTTCCCCTCACCTCACAGGATTTTTACAGTTGTGGAAGTGCCCTCCAGTAATACTGCGATGACCGCCTTTCTTGTCATGTTCTACTTCTGGGTATAAATCCTGTGATGTATCTGGCTGTTTTTGCCTTTAATGGTCAGTTATCTTTTAAAATGTTTACAGCATAAAGTAAGGAGCTCTGGTAGGATAGTCAGTGGTGTGATCACACTGCTAACTGAAAGACTAGCATCTCTAGCAGTTGGAACCCATTACCTGTTTGGAGAAAGAAAGATGGGCAGTTACATCCCATTAAGATTTACTCAAAAAATCTGACAGAGGGTTTCTATGAGTTGAATCAGACTATGGCAGTGAGTTTGAGTTTTGAGTATATAAAATAAACTGTAGTGGCTAAAGAGTTGCTCCGTTAACCCAAAGGCATAGAATTCTAATCCGTCACTTGCTCTGTGGCAGAAAGATGGGCCGTCTCTTCCTGTGTGTGTTACTGCCTCCGAACACCCACCAGAGGGTCAGCAATGGCTTGGTTCTATCTCAGTGGTGTATCACAGCAACAGCATGTAGAGTTAAGAAGGAAACCACTTATTTGGGAATTTTTAAAAATCATCTTAATGTCAATATGACAATATATGTGCTTAAAGCATTAACTAGAAAGATCTTTTGTGGGGCTGTAGGTCTCAGGTGACTCGATGGCACATAACAGCATAACAATTGTGGGACTAATAACTGCTCTCCTCTGAATTCTTAATCTGACTTCAGATTAGAAATTGCTGCCATGAAACTTATGCCCATGTCTTCCTTGAAAAGCCTTACTACTATCCCAGAGATAAGAATGCTGTCGTTAACCCTCAGTGAGGTGGATTGACACAGTGACTGCAACATAGGTTTCTTCACAGCAGAGATGGTGAGGATGGTGCAGATTGAGCTGGATTTCATTCTGTTGTTCCTAAAGTTGCTGGGAGGAGTTGAAGCTGCTTCTATGACGCTTAACAGTCTTTAGACTGCAGATGGCATCTCACTTAAGGTTTCTCTTTATTTACCAAATGAGGAAAGTTAAGTTTAACAGTTAGTAATGAATGATGATTACAACTCATTAATCTCTTTTAAGAAATTGCAGTTATTAATAATAACTGTTTATTAAGTACTGATTTTTAAAACTATGTGAAGCTTTAAAAAATATATATTTTATTCTCTATCATTTCTGCTTTGTTACTAGAAAAATGTTCCCAATGCCTACATTATAAAACAACAATAATTAATAGTAGATGATAAATATTTTATGAAATAAAAGTTACTAATATAGCATCAAGAGTTTTTTGTTTTATTTATTCAGGTATTTTATTAATTACAATTGATTAATGGATTAATTAACCCAATACATAATCAACCCTTTATTGTCTATTACCTCTCCAGCATTACTCGGATTATCTATTCATTTTCACTCCCCTCTCCCTCCCTTTCATCTCTGTTATCTCTCCAAGACGGATTCTGTTCATCAACTTTTCATAATGATTATATACCATGGTTTCCCTTTTGTTCCTGATTTATGTCAGTCAGCATAATTTACTCCTTGTAAATCCATGCATTACAGAAGTGAATGAATTTTTTTTATTAATATTTTTTTATTGGGAAAAACATATTGGGGGTACAAGAAGTTAATGAATTTTTGATCATTTTTTTTAATGATAGCATAAGGCCTTAGATGGTTACTTCTAGTGTGACGTGAGACTCAGATCTTATAGATACTCCTTTTAAATCTTTGATGGGTCCTTTTACATAGTTGAGTAACCTTTCTTCTCTTACTTCATGTTAAGGGTAGATACATCTTAACATTTCTGGTCTGTGAGAAATAAGGTTGAATTGAGCAGTGTTGTTCCTGAACTTTGATTTGCACTCACATATGCTACATTCTCTGATCATACAACTTGAATATCACTTTTATCTGTGTAGACTAGGTTAGTACATTGTTTTAGGATAATAAGCTATTCTGATTAAATATGTGAAAAACAAATGATCAGTTCTCCCTTATCTCCTTGTGGTTTCAGGTAATTCTGACTACCGACTATTGCAGCCATGGAGTCCATGCTTAATAAGCTGAAGAGCACGGTTACAAAAGTAACAGCTGATGTCACAAGTGCTGTAATGGGAAATCCTGTCACCAGAGAATTCGATGTTGGTCGACACATTGCAAGTGGTGGCAGCGGCCTAGCTTGGAAAATTTTTAATGGCACAAAAAAGTCAACAAAACAGGTAAGCTTTAGAATCATATGGGGAAAACACATTCTCGCTATCTCATCTTATGATTCAGTTTTACTTGATAATGTAAATCTTCCCCTTAAATGAGTATGTAATATTTGGTAAAGTAGGATTTTAGGATAAAACTGAGTATATTTCATAAATACTCTTTCATATTTGTCAGTAAGATATGGACCAGTTAAATTTATACCCAACACTGTGTTTTATTGTTGTTACTTGCTTTAGAGTTGGAAGCAGCTTAGAGGTGACCCTCCAGACGGTTTTCTGAAGCTGCAAATCTTGTGGAAGGAGATTGCTCATCTCTTGCTTGTGTAGCAGCTGGTGGATTTGAGTCGTGTACTTTTTGACAGTGCAATTCCTTACCACTAAGTCACATGATGTCAGTCTCAGGACAGAAGTGTGGTCTTTTCAATCATTTGTTGTGCATCTGAGAGCTAAACAGTAAATAAGATTGACAGTAGAATTGATGCTTTTGAGTTGTGATGTTGGAGAAGAGTGCTGAATATCCCATGGATGGCCAAAAGAATAAATGGCTATGTCTTGGAGAAGGTGCAGTCAGAGTGCTCCCTCAAGGCAAAGTTGTTAACGCTTCATCTCATATACTATGAGCATATTACTGGGAGAGGGTCATCATGCTTGGAAAGGTGGAAGAATGGTGAAAGAGAAAGATTGATTCTCAGCCAGATGGACTGACACAATGACTATAGCATAGGGTCAAGTATATCAGAGATTGTAAGGCAGGTCCAGGAGAGGACAGGATTCAGATCTACTGTTCACAGAGTTGCTCAGAATCATCCTTGACTTGACTGAACAACAACAGCAGCAGCAAGAGCTTCCTTGTGTTTTATTTAGTGCATTCTTACTTAGTTTTTTATTCTGTAACCTTCTAGAAAACAGATATTTATAATATTCTGTTGAATATAATAACCTGGTGAATTTTACTGTTAGAAGAAGACATGTTTTTTCTGTGTTTTGGCATTTCTTTCAGAGTATTTTAAAACTAATGTGCATTTGGCTAACAGAAGTTTGGAGGATTAGTTGCAAAAAATTGTGGGTTTTTTTTTTTTTTGTTTATTTGTTTTAGATTTGATGTAAAAGACCAACAGAATGTTCTTAGGAATTTAGAGAATCGTTAATTTTAATGAAAGCCCAGTGTGTTAAATGAAAAAAACCAACTCTGTAGAAATACCGTCTCTAAAAAAATGTTTCTTTCCAAAATTGTCTTTGCTTTCCTACAAGTGAACTATAGAAATTATAAAAAGTGTGAGATTTAGTACAGATAGTTTTCCAGGACTACCTTAATCAATTGAGAGTATGCATTATTTTCTCCTTTTCCAATGCTAGCTTCACAATTTTACATATCATCCTTGCACATGGGCTATCCTAATCTTCTTTGTATCGTTCCAGTTTTAGTGTGTGTGCTGTTGAAGCGAGTACTTCAGTGCCATTTTATTTCACAGTCAGATATATTGAAGAATATTGGCTTTTGTTGTTGTTGTTATGTGCTATTGAGTCATCTGTGACTCACAGGGACCCTGTGTATAGCAGCTCTGAACTCTGCCCTGTCCTGAGCCAGTGTCACGACTCTGATACACCTACACTCATTACCCCAGTTACTTTATTAAGCCATCTCATCCGGAGTCTTCCTCTCCTGCGCTATCCCTCCACCCTTCAAGCATGATGTCCTTCTCTAAGGACTGGTCCCTCCTTGCCATGTGCCCAAAGTATATGAGATGCAGGCTTCAAAATCCAAGCCTCCAAGGAGAAACTTGTTTTCACTGTTTTTAAGACAGTTTCCTCTCTCTCGAAAATTCTGTGTACAATATTGGCATTAGTTATCTTTTTATGAAAAAGAAATATTGGTGCTATGATCAAATTCAGATTCATTGTCAAGTTGGAACTGACTTATAACTGATCCTCCATTGGGTTTTCAGAGCCTGTAAATCACACAGGAGGAGATAGCCCATCTTTCTCAGGCTTTGGGTTAGCAGCATAACCACCCATGGACAATACCACCACAGTTCCCTTGGTGTTGTCATAAATGCTATTATTTTATTTGTACTTGATCTGGAAATCTCGGTTGTGTATCTGTTTGGTTGGAAATGTTCAATGAAGGTCCAAAACAGATGATAAGAATGGACATTTTATATTTTATATCATAAACCCTGATTGATATGTTATCTTTTTGGACTATTTAGAATGATACTAAAAGAGCTGATCCAAAAGAGTATATGGTTACTTGCGTCTTGGATATTTAAAAAGTCATCTTTGAAGTCATGATGTTATGTAAGAGATTACCAACTGCCAACTAACTGTTGACTTTTATCATCATTTGTAAGGAAGAGACAAAAGAATAATACCAAATTTATCAGATTTTGCATTTTTCAGTTAAGGGGATAGTAGTGTGATAGTGTCGTTGCTCAATCCAAAAACTTTCTAGGTGCTTGTGTTGATACCAGTGGTTCATGTGCTGAGAATGATGATAAATCCTCCCCAAGTGTTGCACTAGAGTTGCTCTTCATAGAGCAACCAAATACCAGGGATAAACCCTCATTTTCAACTGCTTTCTGCCAGAGCTGTGCTTTCTTAGGAAACTTTAGTACATTGAATTTTAAAAAGATACTGTTTCAAAGGAAAAAAAAATAATTTTCGAATATGTGAGAGTTCTCTGTAGAAATGAATTTGAATTGTTTTTTTCTTTGCCTCTGTCAGTCAGCAGGTGTTACTCTTGACTACTAATTCTTTAAGAAATGGCTAAGTTTAACTGTCTTAGCATTGAAGCATTTTACCTAATTGAAAGTTATTTTCTTTTGCTTTTAAATTGGAAGTTTTAATTCTTTTCAGTTGCTTCATTTTTATTAAAAGAGAATGACAGAACATAAATAATCTAGAGCTTTGAGCTGCAGTATAGTAGCCACACATGGCTGTTCAGATTTCAAGTAATTAAGATGAAATAAAATTTAGTTCAATTACTTAGTTACAGTAGTCACACTTCAAGTGCTTAATAGCTAGATAAGGTGGTGCTTGTTTTTAGGTGCCATCCAGTGCACTGTGACTCATAGCCATCCTGTAATTAACAGGTTTGAATCCTGCCCTGTCTTCAGCTTCCCTGCTGTACATGAGCCCATTGAGACAGTTATGTCAGTCCATCTTTTGAGGGTCTTGTCCTTCTTTGATGACCTTTCCAAGCATGATGTCTTTTCCAAAGGACTGACTCCTCTTCATACCATACACATAAAATATGAGAGGAAAGATTTTACCATCCTTGCCTTTAAGAAGCACCTGGTTGCATTTCCTCAAAGACGTATTTGTCTGTTCATTTGGTAGTCTATGGGATATTCAGTCCTCTTTTCCAATACCACAGCTCAAAGGCATCACTTATGCCCCGTTATCCTTATGCATTGTTCATCTTTCAGCACCATAGCAAGTAATTGAAAGACCATGGCTTGGGTCAGGTGCATCTTAGACATTAAACTGACATTGTTCCTCTTCAGCACTTCAGAGAGGTCCATTGGATAGTGCATGTACAGTAATTTTCTGTCATCACTGAGAGTTCTCTTGAACAGTGCTTATCTAAAATGGGGGTTAAAGTGATAGAAAAGGGTAGTGCTCTTAGTCTTTTTTTCAGAAGGGAATATTGAAGAATGCCTTTGCTCTCACACTTTCTTGATCTAGCTAGCTGTGTGTTTGACTGCTCTCCTGCTCTCTGTTGAGAGTTCATGGTAATACATGCTAAACCATAATTATGACTTTCTGATAACATGCTACTTTTGACTCTTCAAGTCTAAGTAAATGAAGGCTGTAGAGATGAGTATTAATAACACCACCAACAGGAAAGGTGTAAAAATTTATTTATTAAACTTTTACTGTATCTAGATAAAGAGTTGATTAGTAAAAATTCATTGGTATGCTTGATGACTTCATTGTACCTGACTAGCTGTCTTTATTAATTGTCTGGTTTCCTGCTTCCAAAACTAAGTCTCAGTTTTTTATTGTTTTTGAGTGGTAGTCATTCAAAATACCTCATAGTGATTATATGAAATGAAATAGTCTTTTTTAAAAAATAGTTACTTTTTTGCACCTAAATAAAGTTCTTACACCAGTAAGGTATAAGCTTTAAGATTTTATTTTTGGATAAACTTAACCAGTTAAAGTTTACCCACATACATGTATAAAACAGTATTGAAATGGATAGGGTTTTAACTATAAAGTATTGGCATTTGAAGTTGTTATTGAGCCTTGAGCATTAATGGTACAGACCACAAATGCATTGTGGCATTGTCTTAAATTTCTTTTTGGTTATTCACTTTAAAGTAACTCTTAGGTATTAACTGTTACTCTTTCTAGAAGCTCTGTAGGACTGATACAAAATATTTTTAGATGACATTTAGAGAATTGCTATGAACATTTTTGTATGTGCAACTGGAATTGCTAGGTCATTGTGCATTTTGTTGAGAAAATACTTTTTTCCTCCATTAATAAGACAATTAATTAGTTAACAGGGTTTATTGAGTGACATGCTGTTGATAATTAGAGAAATCCAAACTAGGAATGAGTTTAAAGAGTGAAAATACAGTGTTTTAAAAGATAGGAATTTGTTAGAATGAATGAGATTTAGATATGTCTTCATTTAAAGACAGGAATTTACGATGCAGGCTCCTTTTGTCATTTGTTTCTTCAGTATACAGACTTGTATGATGGGAATTGTTTTTTCTGGTTGGTGAGTCAGAAATGGTCTTTATTGACAAGTTGCTTTACTTGAAAAGTTTCTGAGATTAGAGCACTTTGAGAACTCCCTGTTCTCTGTCAGGACTTACACCTACCACAGATAGATGTCCATTTTGATTTACTGTTTTCAAAAAGAGCTGAACTTGACACAGCAAGTTTGGGTTTTACTCAGCAGTTTGTTGAGTGCCCAACAGTTTCGCACCGTGATTGCACCCGTGCACGCATCCACCGGAAGTTAGCTGTCTCCCTATCTCTGCTAAATTTCA